GCTCTTCAGGCTAGAGAACTTTTGGCAAATTATGCAGACGTCTTTTTGAAAGGAGATCATGACCTCGGCTGCACAGACATTGTAGAGCACAGAATAAACACAGGCAATCACTGTCCAATAAAGATCCCCCCAAGAAGAATAGCTCTAGCAAAGCGACAAGAGATGGAGAAAGTCATGGATGGCCTAATTAAGGAAGGGGTAGTCGTGAAATCAGATAGTCCTTGGTCATCTCCCGTCATGTTAGTCCAGAAGAAATATGGGACCCAACATTGCTGTGTGGACTTCAGAGCTCTTAACAGTATAACCGAAAAAGACTCATACCCACTGTCAAGAATTGATGATACTCTTGATGGCCTAAGTGGAGCCAGGTGGTTTTCAACTATGGACTTAAAGTCGTGTTTCCATCAAGTAAAAATGGCTGAAGCAGATAAACATAAGACTGCATTTAGTTATGGCCAAGGTATCTGGCAATACTGTGTGATGCCATTCAGGCTTAGCAATGCTCCAGCAACATTTGAGAAGGTGACGGAAAGAGTACTGGAAGGCCTACAATGGAGGATAGCCCTAGTGTACCTGGACGATGTCATTGTATTTGCAACAACTTTTGATGAGGAAATGTCCAGGCTAGAGGAAATATTCAAGTGGATGAAAGCAGCAAACCTTAAACTCCATCCCAAGAAATGCCACTTGTTCCAGAAAGAGGTGCTTTACTTGGGTCAAATCAGTGTGTTATTGGCCAACACCAGACACTGTGGAGGAGTTAAGAAGTTTCTTGGAACCCTGTACCTATTACCGGAAGTTTGTAAAGGACTTTGCAACTATAGCTGCTCCACTACATGATTTGACGAAAAAAGGCCAAAATTCGAATGGACAGTTTCTTGCTAGCATGCTTTCAAGACATGCAAGAAAAATTGGCCTCATTTCCACTTTTAAAGCTTCCAAATCCCTCACTGCCGTACATACTGGATTGTGGTGCTAGTAATGTCGGAATTTGAGGAGTGTTGTCTCAGAAAGTGGGCGAAAACGAACATGTGGTGTCCTACTTCAATAGGGTTTTGAGTAGACCAAAGAGGAATTACTGTGTAACACGGAGGGAACTCCTTGCTATAGTAAAGAGTCTGACATATTTCCATCCTTACCTCAATGGTGCCAGGTTGGATCGGAAAGATAGACCAGTATAATTATGATATTGAATACAGAAAAGGAAAATCTCATGGAAATGCTGATGGACTTTGCCGAAGACCCTGCAAAAATGACTGCAGGCATTGCTGCAAAAGAGAGGTTGAGCTAACCAGGTGTCATCAAGCTGAAGTCAAAGTGACTGAAGAAGTTGATGATGGTGAAATGGAACAAGGTATAGATATTAAATCAGAGCAGGAGCAAGACCAAGATTTGAAGCCAATAATTACTTTTTAAAAGCAAGTGTTTTGTACCCTGCTTGGGAGAAGGTGTCCAGCTTAAGCCCTATGACAAAGAATTATTGGGCACAATGGGACCAGTTGAAGCTTGAAGATGGTATTCTTCTCAGGAGATGGGAAAGTGACGACCTGGCAAACAGTTATACTAAGAAAGTTACGTGAAGTTGTGCTGCATCAATCCCATGATAGTTTAACAGGAGGACATCTCGGAGTTAAGAAGACATTGAGTAACCTACAACAGAGATTTTACTGGATAGGTATGAGGCAAAATGTGGAAGAATGGTGCAGGACATGCAGTACATGTTGTGCTAAAAGAGGACCCAAGCATAAGGGACGTGCTCCAATGAAGTTATATCAAGTTGGCGCACCAATGGAAAGAGTGGCCATTGACATTTCTGGTTCTTTGCCCCAAACTCGTGTTGGAAACAGGTGCAGTTGTGTGGTGATGGATTATTTCACCAAGTGGCCTGAGGCATATGCAATACCAAATCAGGAAGCTACAACTGTAGCTTCGGCTATTAGTGATTTCTTCTTCAGATTTGGTATGCCATACGAACTGCATTCAGATCAAGGCCGTAATTTTGAATCATCCGTGTTCCATGAATGCTGCAAGTTGTTTGGCATACGAAAGACCAGAACAACAACACTTCACCCACAGTCCGATGGGATGGTAGAAAAGTACAACTGGACACTGGGACAGGAATTGGCAAAGTTTTTGTAATAGCCGCCAAGTAGACTGGGATGTCTTACTCCATCCACTGTTGATG